GGTGTAAGATGTTAAGGCAAAGCTGTTCAGTGCGAACAGGCCCGAGATGAGCAGGAAAAATACTACAAAATTGCAAAAACTGGAGCCTCGTGATGTGTACGCGCCACCATCTTGGTCAAAAAGATGGTCAGAGCTCTATAGCTCTATGATCATATGGGGAGATAGGAGAAACCTACAGAAGGACAAACATTGCTGCAACACTCCACCAATTATGTCGGAAAGACACATGAAAACACACTTGGAATTTACAAAAAAAAGCACCTAAAGGACCCTCAGACTCTGAGAAACAAGATTATCTGGTCTGATGAACCTCAATTCTAAGCATCATGTTTGAAGGAAACCAGCTCTGCTCATCACCTGCAGAGTACCATCCCAAAAGTAAAGTGTGCTGGTAGCAGCCTCATGCTGTGGGGGTGTTTTTCAGTGGCAGGGACCAAAGGCCTCGTCAGAGTAGAAGGCACGCTCAGTGCAGCAAAATATAGAGATAGCCTTAATGAAAACCCAGTCCAGAGCATTCAGAACCTCAGACTGGGCAGAAGGCTCAACTTCCAACAGGACAGTGACCCCAAGCACAGCAAGACTGGCTTATAGACAACTGTGTGAATGTCCTTGAGTGGCCCAGCCACAGCCTGAGCTTGAACCCAATCAAATAATTCTGGAGAAACCTGTGCATCTGCCCCCATCCAACCTGACAGAGCTTGAGAGGTGAAGAGATGAGGAGAAGAATGGCAGATAATTGCCGAATACTTATGCAATGTACTTATTTCATTTTTTTATTTGAATAAATTTACGAAGTTGTATTTTGTGTATTATTTTCACAAAATAAATTTTTTTATAGGTAACAGCATAAATGTTTTTATGTTGTTACATGCGGTTACATTATAAAAACTAAATGCATCTGGCATTATGTTTGTTTTTATATGGTTACAAAAGAAAAATTCTCATAAACCAAAAAAATAACCCTTGAAAATCAACATCAGGATGCAAATATTAATTCATGTTGAAAACAACCAATATTTAGCCGCTGTTATTCTTCCATTATAGTAATCTGAGACTTTTCAGTCATTTAAATATATAAATAAATCAATAAAAACATAGTTACACTCTTTAAAAGAATGTGAGATTAAACTGTTTTTCATATTTTTCATATTTTCACCACCAGATGTCGCCCATGTATTTTTTTGGTTCGATTCCAACTAGAAGTGTATAAGTGCACTGCTTACTGCATACTTATGTATAGGGTTAGTATGC